TGGTCAATTCTAATTGTAGCAAATAGATTTGTGTCAGAAGACCTTTATCTTCATGGTTTTTTCAATGCTTCAATTAAGTTTCCTTCAGATTATATTGTTGGAGTTGTTGTTGCTTTCTATGTGAGTTATCTTCTCAACATTCTTAATTTTTTTTTTAATTTCTAAAATAATAATAATAAAAATAACTCATTTTCTCTTTTTAACAATCAAAATCAATTTTTTCCTTTGGCTTTGCAAGTCTTTTGCTTAAAAGTTCACATTTTTGGATAGATCACGACGATCATAGAGGCAATCAAAACCCCACCCAAGTATCAGAATGGAGTTTGAAATGGGAAGGGGCCAAGAGTCTTGCATGCATGGGAGTAGAGGGGGAGTGGAGTTTGACGTGGAGCAGAATTCTACGGGCATGTGGGAGGATTGAGTCATATCTAGTTGAGAAGTTCCAGCTGCCATGTTGTGCATGATTTTTTCGCAATTTACTTCTTCCGTTGCACATGTTGTTTTGTTGGTTTATGTTGCCTTTATTTCAACATCATGAGATAACGTTAATTTTGTTCGTTTATGTTGCATTTATTTCTGCATCATATATGAGCATGGTTTTGCTTATTTAAAATAGCCATGGCTTATCATTAAGGAATATATATATATATAGTTATTGCATTTGGGTTCATTCTCACCTGAAGAGAATTTATCTTAATTTATTCAAGTTTGGGACCTATCATTGGTATCAAAGCCTAACTGATGGGGACCAACAAGGAGCAAATTGAGCACTTGGAAATTGGACTCTGTGCTTTACAAGAGGGACTGCAATAGATAGAGCTTGGGATGACTAGCAGATTCCATCACTTGGAAGAAGTCCTTGATCGCCTCTCAAATGCTTTGCTTACGAACCAAGAGTCACCCAACTACGAGAACCGCGTCAGGGAGAATCAGGAAAGAGGCTAGCAAATAGTCTCTTCTAAGATGATAAAGCTCGAGTTTCCACGATTTTCAGGGGACGACCCTACAGAATGGTTCAATTGTGTGAACCGATTCTTTGAATATCAAGGTAGTGCAGAAACTCAAAAGGTCTCAAAAGCACTCTCAGTCTCTCCCCGGCGTCGGGTCCCCATGGCAGCATACTATCTACAAGGGAAGCCAACCAGTGGTGGCAATGGATTAGAAGAATGTTAAGGGAAGAAGGACACGAGATTTCTTGGGAGAAATTTGAAGAGGAACTTTGGGCTCGCTTTGGGCCATCTGAATGTGAGGATTTTGACGAGACTCTCTCTCGGGTTAGACAGACTGGAACCTTAAGGGATTATCAATGCGAGTTTGAGAAGTTCGGCAACAGAGTGCGAGGATAGATGCAGAAGGCAATGGTAGGAACATTCATGAGAGGATTAAAGGCAGAAATAGCAAATGGTATCCGAATGTTCAAACCACAATCCTTTAGAGACGCCATCAATCTGGCTCAGATGAGAAATGACCAACTCTCACGACAGTGAAGGAATATGCAGATCCAACTTGTAAGAGGTCCCCTAACCTTACTATAGGACACTCGAGAAAATTCTGTTAACCCGATGGTTCCTATCTGTCGCTTATCATGGGACGAAAGGTAAAAGAGGAGAGCACAAGGTCTTTGTTTCAATTGCAATGAACGCTTCACTTCAGGGCATAGGTTCCTAAAGCCCTAGTTACTACTTTTGGAAGGGTATGTAGGAAACATGGTGCATGAAGACTTCACCATCCAACCACCACCAAAAGCTGATCAGGATGGAGATGTAGTAGCATCGAAAAAACCTGAATTTGAACCAGAAATCACATTGTACACGTTGCCTGGGTGGACGGCACCAAGGACAATGCGCATGACAACCAAGATGGGTTCGCTTGAGGTGTTTGTGTTGATCAACAGCGGATAGACCCACAATTTCATCAGCGAGCGATGGGCAATCAAACTTCGTTTGCCAGTGGTTCCCATAGAATAATTCTCTGTCAAGGTCACCAGTGGAGAAAAATTAAAATGCCAAGGATGATTCGATAAGGTACAGGTGGAATTACAAGGCATTGAATTTTATCTTACACTTTTCTCTTTACCCTTAACAGGTCTTGACCTTGTGTTTGGTATATAATGGCTTGAGAAATTGGGGTCTATGATTTGCAATTGGAGGCAATTGATTATGGAGTTTACATGGGAGAATAAAAAATGCAAGCTACAAGAGGAAGACGTGGAAACAATTTGGGAGGCCACTTTGAAGGAAATCACAAAATATCACACGACAATTGTGGTATGTTTTCAAATAAACATGGACACAACAACATCTTCAGAGTTATTTGAAGAAAATCAACAGGAGATGAGGCTACTGCTTCAAGAATACAAGGACGTGTTCCAGGGGCCTTCGGAACTCCTTCTTGCACAAGAGATTACTCACTGCATCATGCTTAAAGAAGGGACGAAACTAGTCAACGTCCGCCCATATAGATACGCCCATTTCTAGAAGGAAGAAATTAAGAAGCAAGTGTAGGAGATGCTGAATTCAAGACTCACTCGTCCGAGCACTAGCCCATTTTCCTCACCGGTGTTACTAGTAAAGAAAAAAGATGGCAGTTAAGGTTCTGTACGGATTATCACTCACTTAACCTTGCCAGCATTGCGGATCGATTTCCAATTCCAATAGTGGACAACATGTTGGACGAATTAAATGGCCCCTTTTATTTCACCAAGTTTGATCTAAGAGCAGGTTACCACCAACTGAGGGTAAACCCTCCTGACATCCCCAAAACTGCATTTCACACACACAACGGGCATTATGAATATCTAGTAATGCCTTTTAGGCTATGCAACGCGCCATCTACATTTCGCACCATCATGAACTCAATATTCATACCTTATCTCCAGAAGTCCATCTTAGTCTTCTTCGATGACATCTTGATATATGTTAGTAAACGGTCCCGTATACGCAGCGGAAACAAAAATAATATAACTCAGGGATCGTTTACATGAGCCAAGATCAAGGGTTTAATTTTACAATTTACATTAAATAAAATCTGCATAAATATTCAACATGAGTTTAAAGAAACAAACGCACGTTGGAGGCTCCTCCAAATTTGTCGACGAATGTTTTGCTACCAATCCAAGTGTAGGATCGAACCTGTGTAGTCCACACGAAGATAATCTTAAAAGAACCAAAGAGGGATTTGCTAGATCCTCTTTGGCTTCAAGATTCAGAAGAAAAACAAAATCAATTGAATTGATTTCAGGCTCAAAAGTGTTACTGCCGTGGGAGAAGCAAAATGGGGCTGCTGTGTGTTTTGGTTTTACAAAGAAAAATCCTTAATTAAAAAAAACACACACTTTTCCTTTTATATTTTAAAAAAAACAATTTGCCCTAATCCCATACGGAATAGGCTTGGGCTCCAACCCAAATGCCCCATGTTGCCAAACACTCCCAATTTGATTTATTTTATTTCCCATCATTATCTTAATTAAAATCAATTAATATATATTTAAATATATATTAACATTTAACAATAATGATAATATATTTAAATATGTGCGAACACACATTTAAACGTAATTTCACTTATTTAATTTTTCTAACAAATTAAATAAAGGCTACGACCTCAGCAAATTTAATTGCACTGTGAAATTACCAAAATACCCTTTCGCCTTAAAAGACGAAAACGCCCTTCTTTCTTCTTNGTTTACATGAGAGAATAAAAAATGCAAGCTACAAGAGGATGATGTGGAAACAATTCGGGAGGCCACTTTGAAGGAAATCACAAAATATCACACGGCAATTGTGGTATGTTTTCAAATAAACATGGACACAACAACATCTCCCGAGTTATTTGAAGAAAATCAACGGGAGATGAGGCTACTGCTTCAAGAATACAAGGACGTGTTCCAGGAGCCTTCGGAACTCCTTCCTGCACGAGAGATTACTCACTGCATCATGCTTAAAGAAGGGACGAAACTAGTCAACGTCCGCCCATTTCTAGAAGGAAGAAATTAAGAAGCAGGTGTAGGAGATGTTGAATTTAGGTCTCATTCGTCCGAGCACTAGCCCATTTTCCTCACCGGTGTTACTAGTAAAGAACAAAGATGGCAGTTAAGGTTCTGTACGGATTATCACTCACTTAACCTTGCCACCATTGAGGATCGATTTCCAATTCCAATAGTGGACAATATGTTAGACGAATTAAATGGCCCCTTTTATTTCACCAAGTTTGATCTAAGAGCAAGTTACCACCAACTGAGGGTAAACCCTCCTAACATCCCCAAAACTGCATTTCACACACATAACGGGCATTATGAATATCTAGTAATGCCTTTTAGGCTATGCAACGCGCCATCTACATTTCGCACCATCTACATTTCAGGCCATCATGAACTTAATATTCATACCTTATCTCCAGAAGTCCATCTTAGTCGTCTTCGATGACATCCTGATATACAATCCTTCTTGGGAGCAACACGTGATGCATGTCAAAAAAGCCCTAGAGGTGTTGAGACAACACAAGTTCTTCGCCAAGGTGAGCAAGTGTGCATTCGGTCAGCAAGAGTTTGAGTATCTGGGAGACATTGTCATGACTCGGGGAGTGAAGGTCAATGACAAGAAACTTGTAGCCATGATTGCATGGCCACCTCCTACTAACATCACTGAATTATGTACATATTTGGGTTTGACAGGTTATTACAGAAAGTTGGTACGGAATTATGGCATCATTACACGCCCTCTTACCAACCTACTCAAAAAAGAGAAATTCGGGTGGTCTGAGGAAGCAAAAGCCGCCTTCTTGGATCTTAAGCAAGCCATGACCACCACTCCCACCCTGGCCATGCCCAATTTTAGTGAATCCTTCACCATTGAAATTGATGCATTAGGCGAATGAATGGGCGCGATGCTAACACAACAGGGCAGACCCATCACCTTTATGAGCCGCACATTGGGAGTTATGAAGAAAACTTTGTCAGTCTATGCCGAGGAGATGCTTGCGATTGTAAAGGCAATACGCCTATGGCGTCCTTATCTGTTGGGAAGAAAATTCTACATTCAGACAGATCAACGCAACTTGAAGTTCTTCATGGAGTAACTAGTGGCAACTCCAGAGCAACAAAAATGGGTAGCCAAATTGATGGGCTACGATTATGAAATAATCTATCAATCTGGCCAAGAAAATTCAGCTGTAGATGCCCTTTCATGCAACCCTCACAACCTAGTCCTCTATCAAATGTACGTGGCCATCGTTTCCATATGGGATGAGATACGAAGAGCATCTAACGGGGATCCGTACATCTAATCACTTGATCAGGCAATTAAGGCACAACTCGAAGGTCCATACTTCCAATGTCAGGGACTTATTTTCTTTAAAGGAAGAGTGGTGATTCCTTCACAAATGGAGCTAAGGAACAAAATAATGCATGAGGCTTACAACACCAAGATGGCAAGACATTTAGGAGTATTGCAGACTTACAAGAGATTGGCCCAACAATTTTATTGGCCAAAAATGCATCAAACCAGACAGGAGTACGTGAGGTAGTGTGATATATGTCAACGAATAAAATCTGAATCACTCTCTCTTACAGGTCTCTTACAACCATTGACCATTCCTTGCCAAGAATGGGAGGATGTCACTCTCGACTTTGTAGAAAGACTACCCATATCTCACGGCAAGGATACCATCTTGGTGGTTGTCGATAGGTTGAGTAAATTTTCCATTTTCTCACCTTAACTCTCCTATTTATTGCTAAAAGTGTGGTAGAAAACTTCATGGAAGGAGTTATCAAGCTACATGGCCTACCTCGATCCATTAATAGTGATCGAGACCTAATCTTCATCAGCAGATTCAGGCAAGAATTCTTTCAAATGTCAGGGACTAAATTGTAGCTCAGTTCCGCCTACCATCCACAAACCGATAGCCAAACAGAAGTTGTCAATCGTTGTGTCGAATAGTACCTATGCTACTTTGTCCATCAATGGCCGCGCAAGCGGAACACCTACCTCCCTTGGGCCAAGCTCTGGTATAACACCAACTACCATGCCTCAACAGGAATGATACCGTTCCAAGCATTGTATGGCCGTTTGCCACCCACCATTCCCATCTACTCAGTTAGGTTGTCTCCTGTACACGAAGTGGACCAGAGTCTCCTTACAAGAGATGAGCTGCTCCGACAACTCAACACTAACCTATAAGTTTCCATTAACAGCATGAAACAAACAATGGATCAGAAGCGATGTGAAATCACCTTCGAAGTAGGTGATCCGATGTATCTCAGGTTGCATCCATATCGACAATAGTCAGCATTTAAACGGGTTCATTAGAATTTGGCAAGCCGGTTTTACGGACCGTACCCAGTGATGCAATGAATCGGAGCAGTGGCATATAAATTGACACTGCCGGAAGGAACTCAAATTCATCCAGTCTTTCATGTGTCCCTACTAAAAAAGTTTATTGGTGATCGAGCTTTGCCTTCCCAGAACTTGCCGCCATTGAATGAAGACGGTTGTCATATTGGACCCCAAGAAAATTTTGGAGGCACGCTGGGTTAGACGAGGACACAAATATGAGGAAGAAATGCTGGTTTAGTGGGCACACCTCCCAGTGGAAGAAGCCACGTGGGAGTCAGCTCCCCTTTTGCTTCAACAATTTCCAGTTATGGACTTTAGGGACAAGCATCAACTTCATGGGGAGGGTATTGATAGACCACGACAATCATAGAGGCAACCAAAACCCCACCTTAAGTATCAGAATGGAGTTTGAAATGGGCAGGGGCCAAGAGTCTTGCATGCATGGGAGTAGAATGTGAGTGGAGTTTGACGTGGAGCAGAATTCTATGGGCATGTGGGAGGATTGAGTCATATTCAGTTGAGAAGTTCCAGCTGCCATGTTGTGCATGATTTTTTCGCAATTTATTTCGACATCATGAGCATGACTTTGCTTATTTAAAGCAACCATGGTTATATATATATATATGTGTTTGTGTGTATAGAAAAGTAAAGAAATTTGCAAGATAACCCACTAGGTATTATTGATAAATGTATAAATCAATCAGCGAGAGAGAAACCTTGTTGAAAAATGATAGGTCCCAGACTTGAATAAATTAAGATAAATTCTCTTCGGGCGAGAATGAACCCAATTGCAATAACTATAACTATATATATAGTCTGGGACCTATCATTTTTCAACAAGGTTTCTCTCTCGCTGATTGATTTATACATTTATCAATAATACTTAGTGGGTTATCTTGCAAATTTCTTTGCTTTTCTTGACAAAGTTTTAAACTTTGGCTGCATATTTCAAATTATGACATATTTGAGAAGAACCATGATGATATAGACTTTGAGTTCAATTTGTGAATATTTTATTTATTGATTTTTTAATTATCAATTCAATATAAAATGAACTTCAACATAGAAAATATATATTTAAAACACAAAAAAAACCAATAATAATGTAAAAAAAAAAAAAAATATAATAAACATACCCACGCAGCGTAACTTGAAAATAAATATAAGTTACAGAACTTGCGGAAAGTCAGTATAAATTTTAAGTTTAAATAATTGATCTTGATAATATTCAAGTGATCTTAAATATCATACACGATTCACTACAAAATACTGACATCGAATATCAAAGACGTGTTGCAAAAATAATATCAATTGTACAAGGTAATGATTTTGAAAATATAATTAGACCATATAATATTCAGATGATCTTCTTAAGTTGGATGAATGATTTAATAACATCCTATAATTGATATTAATAATTATACAAGTACAATTATTAATTTTATCTTAACACAACTTTGTATATATATAAAATTTATATTTACTTTAAAATTTGTATAATTTAGCAATTATTATATCTTAATCTAATTAGTTTATTTTGTTAGAATAAATTTGTTTACAATCTATTTAAAAAACATTGAATAAACATACCCGCGTAACGCACGGACCCCATGTCTAGTTTATTTCTATAAACCAAAACATATTAAAACTTAAAAAAAAAAAAAAAAAAAAAAAAACATACTTTTTACATATATTTTTCTGTAAATTACAAAATAATAAATAATTTTTTTTCTGTAAATTTAAAAATTTAAAATTGAAAAAATATACTTTTTAAATATATTTTTCTGTAAATTATAAATTCAAAATAAAGAATAAAAATATTTTTGTAAATTAGAGATAGGCTAACAAAAAAAAAAAAAAAAAAAAAAAAAAGCTTTTTATAATATATTTTTCACTAAATTGAAAAATAAAAATATTAAGAAAATATTTAAAAATAAAAAATAAAAAAGCAACAGCAACGATCTAAGATCATCGTTTTTGGCAATTTGAGGCAATTTTGATTTTGTTTCCAACAATATGAGATCGTCTAACGTCTTACATAGTCATTCCCCACGATCTGAGATGGCCGCAGTCCTTGGATCGCTAATAACGACGATCTAAAACTCTTAAAAGTTTAATTTCTTTTAAAATAATATTAAACTTAAATATATACTAATTTTTAAAACGTTTTATAAATATCTTTTTTTATTCTTGAAATATTTAATTCTATAAATTTATGTATTTAAACATAAAAAGTCTATTTTGCCCTTTCCTCAATTAGTTTTAACACCAAAAATTGATTGTAGGGTTTAACTAGCTAATTCTGGGGTTAATGGGAGTAACTCTAGTGGTTTGTGTCATTGTTTTAAAAGCCGGACCAGACCGGCCGGTCCAACCAGTTGGACTGTGAATCGGTCACGTGTCTAGTTTGAGTCAATATAAAACTCGGTATTGCGCAATAACTCGTTTAACCCAGCAATGGACTGCGTAAACAGTGCTAAACCGCCGGTCCAACCGGACCACAAGAAAAACCGGCCCAACACTGAAAAGGGAAAAAAATCCCTAATTTCTCACTTTCTCCCATTTCGCATTTTCTTCTTTCTCTACACGCAAAATACTCTGAAAAAATTTAAATGAAATCGCGAAAATCTGAAATCCCACACAAATCAAAACTCAATTGGGTGCGTTTGATGTAGTATTTTGGATAGAATTTTCAGGATAGTATTGGATTGTTGGATAGGGGGGTATTACGAGGTAAATTTGAAAAATTTACGAAAAAGCCGTTAGGTTTACTAATTTAATTAAAGACCCTACTATATAAAATGACAAAAACACCCCCACCACCTGCAGTGTCAGATTTCGGCCGCCACCGCCAGAATCTGGCCCAAAAATTTTGTTAGGGCACAGACCGATCGGATCTGTGCCGTAACGCATCATTATGGCCTTTTCCGGCCAGATCCGTGGTGGATCTGGCCGAAAAAGGCCAGATCTACGGCCTGTTATGGCCGTCGACGGCCGAAAAGGTCAAAACGACAGCCATCTTTGGCCGTCAGCGACGGCCAAAGATGTGGCCGTCGTTTTCGGTCAACGACGGCCATTTCTTTGGCCGTCGCTAACGGCCAGATCTGGCCTTTTTCGACCAGATCGGTGTAATTCCGGCCATTTATGGTTGGAATTTAGGCCGTTGTACAGATTCCGGCTATCACCGGTGGTGGTTTCCGGAATCTGACAAGTTGGGTTGATGGGGGGGTTTTTGTTAATTTTAAAAAAAAAATTTCAAGGGGCATTTAGTGAAATTAATAACCTTATGGGGTCTAAAAGTAATTAAAAAAATAGGGTAGTATTTCTGGAATAGTGTGCCAAACATTATTTGGAGAATAGGATAGGGAATATGGATAAAAATAGGGAGTCAAACGCACCCAATCTTGCTGAAATCGCAACCATTCCTTGCTGAAATCGCACTCATTCATTGCTGAAATTGATCGCAACTCTAGTCTCTGAAATCGCGATGTCTTCCTCCCTCGCCGAAAATCGACGACGACCGGACGACGACAACTCCATTCCTCCTCTCGTCAACGATCTAGGTAAAAAACACATTAGCCAATCTTATTTGGTTATTTTCATGACAACCATTTCAGTGGCATTGTGCTCTTTGACAATATGTCGTGTCTGCCCATTCTCATTGTTTAATCAACTCACTTCAATTTAGTCATAAAAGTGTTTTTGTAAAACTAATTCCGAAAGCATTTCAACCAAACCAAATGGGTCCTCTAAATATTCTCGATGGCCATCAACAAGGACGAAACCAAAAATTTGATTTAAAGTCTGGCAGAGGGGTTACAGTATATATTAGACCCTAGAAGTTGCGCTTAGAAGGGTTAAAGTGTAAAAAAAAGAAAAAGAAAAAGAATATTTAGGAAAGAAAGAACAAGAATCTATGACCCTGTTATTATGATTGTGTCCATTTCTTTTTTTATTGATTTTATGGCTGCGTTGACGAGTTATGAGTTGTGATGATCCCACATTTTGTATATTGAAATGAGTCCCCTCCATAAAGCTTTGAGAATTTTGTAATATTCAGTTTTGTGCATGGTTTTATTTAATATTTTTCTTAAAATTAACTTCTCAATCAATAGGGTCGATTGGGGGATTGTTGGTTTCTGAGTGCTGTTGCCGTTCTAACGGAGGTCTCACGAATATTAGAAGTGATTATTACTCCTGAGTACAACGAGGAAGGAATCTACACTGTTCGCTTCTGTGTTCAGGTAATAAGCTCATAATATCTTTGATCAATCTTGTCAACACCTAACACTCCTCAATACATCTCGATAATTCTTTTCTTACATATCCATAAATTAAAAAGAAATGCTTATTTTTTATGTTATATTAGATAACTTGTTTTGGTTTGTATTCTGGAAGCCTGGAACTGTGGTTTTCCTCTAAATATTGGTTTTCTAGATAATGTATTATTTAGCATGTCAATAATTGCTTGCTTTTGTTTCTAATTCTAATATCTCTATAGGGTGAGTGGGTCCCTGTTGTTGTTGACGATTGGATTCCTTGTGAATCACTGGGTAAACCAGCATTTGCCACCAGCAAGAAGGGTAATGAACTTTGGGTCTCTATATTGGAGAAGGCATATGCAAAATTGCACGGTTCTTATGAGGCACTGGAAGGAGGGCTTGTTCAGGATGCCCTTGTGGACCTTACTGGGGGTGCCGGCGAGGAGATTGACATGAGGAGTGCCCAGGCACAGATTGATCTTGCAAGTGGTAGATTATGGTCTCAATTGTTGCGCTTTGGACAAGAAGGATTCCTACTTGGTGCTGGGAGTCCATCAGGTTCTGATGTGCACATTTCTTCCAGCGGCATTGTGCAAGGGCATGCTTACTCAATATTGCAGGTATGTAGAAATTCAATTCAGTCCAACTATATATATAATATACCAGTTCAAGAAATTTGGCTGACTCTAATAATTTCTCTTATCATTCAGGTGAGAGAGGTTGACGGCCACAAGCTTGTTCAAATCCGAAACCCATGGGCTAATGAAGTTGAGTGGAATGGTCCTTGGTCTGACTCATCTCCTGAGTGGACTGATAGGATGAAGCACAAGCTGAAGCATGTTCCACAGGTACTTAGCTTAGCTTTTGTAGCAATTTGTTCCTTTGATCCCCACTTTCTCTTTGGGCATATCTAGTTGAGTGGATTTCTGTTAATAAATCTTTAATTAGACATGAAAAGTTGTATCTTAGACAGTATTATCCTCTTTTTTTTTTCTTTTAAGTAAGATCTCATTTGCATGTGGCTGATCTTTTTATTTTTGAACAGTCGAAAGATGGTATATTCTGGATGTCGTGGCAAGACTTTCAGATTCACTTTAGATCGATATATGTTTGTCGTGTCTACCCCCCCGAGATGCGCTATTCTGTGCATGGCCAGTGGCGAGGTTACAGTGCTGGTGGCTGTCAAGATTATGCTTCATGGAATCAAAATCCACAGTTCCGACTCAGGGCCACTGGTTCAGATGCATCATATCCAATCCATGTATTCATTACGTTAACTCAGGTATACTGTGGACCTTCAGGCAGAACTATGGCACTATAGCTTTCCTTTTTTCTGCATTTTATGAACTGATTTGAAGTATTTGTNGTAAATATATAAATTATTTAAACTATATCATTTGGTAAGATATTTATTAATTTTATTTTTTATAAAATACTTTTCAATATTAATAAATTTAATAAGTGTAATTTATTATATAAAAGAAAATAGAAAGAAAAAAAAAGTTAGTCCCAACTTGGGACAAAGAGTATCAGGGCTCCTCGTAGGATTCCTTATCCCAAATGATTGGGACAAACTAAGGAGATTGGAATGGGATATAGTTTAATCCCACTTTCCTAGAAATATAACCAAACATGGTCCCTCTCCCAAAACATACCCTTACGGGTCAGTGTATTTGACATTAAGAACTGAAATCCATAGGCTAATAAGAGAAGTATCCTAGGCAAAAATGTTGTTTTACATGCTCAGAATATTATCTAGTGTAATATAAAACTGTTTGATGTTTAAAATCGTAACTAGAGGTGAAACAAATGGGCCGGGTTAGACGGGTCAACCCTAACCCGGCCCGCAATGAAGCGGGTTGAACCCGGACCGCCAATATGGCGGTCCAGGTTGAACCCAACCCGACAGCAACCCCCGGGCGGGCCGGGTTGCAAAATGGCAACCCGCCAACCCGGCGGGTTGTTGTTTTGTCTCTTTTAATTCCTAAACAAATCAGTTTATACATTAATCAAATTAAGCAATTTAACATATTGAACAACCTAAACATGTAATTTCTGACAATCAATTTAGGCAATCAATCAAAACAATATAATTAAACTATATATCATCAAAGCCCTAGGCTCTAATATCATTGCAAGTAATCGATGAGCGATGGCAGCGGAAAAACAAAATTTTTCACTCATCAATTACTCTGAATAAGCCAAGATCAGGGTCTGATATATATATATTACATGCTTAAATTGAAATATCATAAATCCATATAAGGTTTCGATTATACCTGCGATTGGAGGCTCCATCAATATCTCTGAATGTGATCTTGCTACCGATTCGAGAATGGAATCGACGTCATCCATGCGAATACAGTACACCAATGACCAAGAATTAATTCTTGGCTTTAAGGAATGCAAAGATTGGAAGAATGTGAGTAGAGAATAAGAGAAAAAATTCTCTTCAAAATACTCTCCATTGCTGGAATGGAATTGGGGTGTAAAAACCTAATTTTGCTTTATTTAAATAATAAAGACATATCTCTTCACCCCCTTAAGTTTAGCATCAACCCAAACTTTAGGTAGAATTGCATATTAACCATATTTAATTAGTTAGTTTAAATATTAATATTAACTCTAATAATTAAATTTATAATTTTGCTAAATTACTTTAATAATAAAATTGGACATAAGCTACAACCTCAGTAAATTTAATTGCACAGCAAAATTACCAATATGCCCATTTATCTAAAAGACGAATATACCCTTCCAAAAAGTCATCATCCTTAAACTGTCTTCTAAGTGTGTGACCTGTAGGCTCCTTATCATATTGGTAATGAGTAGCATCGCGATTGACACCAATCAATCGTCTCACTATACATAGACCAAGATTGGCCCCTAGTAAGGCATCATGGCCACCCAATAGATTCAAATTAAGTGAAATAGCAACCTATTAACAATATGGTTACCATACAATCAAATCATTTCATCATCTGTTATCTCATTGAGGCTGAGGTACAAAAATAGTGTCAACCTCAGATATCCTCGATATCTTTCTGTTTAGTTATTGGAACAATGACTGAAATAATAAATTGGATTGAGCAATAACTCAATCCTATTGTGGCTATAGATTTAGTGTCATTGTCATTCACTGAATTGCACCATGAGATAACTTCTCCCATATCCAAGAGTGATGAATCCTTTGTCGATCCACCATAGTCTTAATACACTCCTCGATGTAGCCAATCACTACTGTATTGATAGCTCTGAATAGAACTACATTAGGCTAGTGTCAAACTACACTAGGTTTACCATCTTGTGTGGAATCCTCTGATGGGTCATTCCAATGGACTTGCACAAGCAAACACCTGTGCGTTGCACTAGGTTGATGCCCACAACCTTGACATGTGAGATCTCTCACTATCTTTTGATAGGTTTGTTCAACGCAATGATAGTCTCTCTGTATAATCTGTGTCCTTGGTTAGATTTATACTATGACTGCAGACGGTTTAAGAAGGGCCACCATTTGTGCTCATAGGGTTCTCACAATGAAGATTTATAACACTTAATTCCCTCGTCACTAGTTTCAACCTTTTTAAGGACATATACTATTTTCTTTACAAGCAGCAAATAGATGCTATAGTACATATGCTCATAAATAAGAGATGCCTTCTATTTATTAAAATTGAGTTAACAAGAGCTAAAACATTGGCTATAGTGCACCTACTCTAACAAATTTGAAGTTGGATTTCTCTTTTTCTTTCTTCACTTAAGTAGGAGTTTGGCTTCTCTGAGAAGGGCTATAGGTTTCTCCATTCAGTATTAGATGTAATATGTGTTCACAGGTTAGTTAACAATAAGGTTAAATTTAAAAGGCTAACAAAAAACAAAAAACAAAAAAAAAACAAACAAAAACAAAAACAAAAACAAAAACAAAAACAAAAACAAAAACAAAAACAAAAACAAAAACAAAAAATTCGTTGGAAGGTTCAACTAACAAGATAAATCTTAGTTGAATTTAATTGCACCTTTAAACTCGCACAACAGTCGTTTAAACTAACAAGTAGAACAATTCTAATTCTATAAATGAAATAATATAGATTTATAACTGATTGATTTATGCGTATATCGACATGAGAACGTTTAAGAGTGGCAATGTATGCTCTACACATATATTTGAAATTAAATTAAGCATTGCGAGTAGGGGCCATAGTGGGGGCTACCACATGCTAGCGCACTTTGTACGCCGATCATCTTAGGTTTAACATTACTACATTATGATGAAATATGTCCTTCCTTTCCAATGTATTTAAAGTCAACATTTGCAAGCTCCACACCGTCGCATGGTACATTGTTAGAGTAGGTGCCTTAGAGCCAAATAATTATTATAGAATTGACTCTTTGTAATAATGTTTATTAATCAATAAAAGACATTTTTCTACTATATCATGTAAATCATAATTGTATGTATTGATATATGTCCTTAGGATGGTAGAACCATGACAAGGGTATTCTATATCATGTAAATCATAATGGTATGTATTGATATATGTCCTTAGGATGGTAGAACCATGACGAGGGTATCAAGTGTTTCAAATCTTGATAGTGAGAACCCTATGATCACATATGGTGGCCATTCTAGAAATGTCTGTAGCCCCAGTATATTTTGACCAAGGACACAATAATACGGTAAGGCTATCATAGTGTTGAACGACCCTGTCGAAAGGCAGTGACTAATCTCACTTGTCAAGGTTGTTTGTTGACAACTTGGTGCAACACATAGGTGTTTGTTGTAGGCAAGTTCACTAGACTGATGTTAGAGTAGGTGCCTTAGAGCCAATCGAATATTGTAGAATTGAATCTTTGTAATAATGTTCATTGATCAATAAAAGGCATTTTATACTATATCGCGTAAATCATATTGTATGTATTGATATATGTCAGAATGGTAGAACCGTGACAAGTGTATCAAGTATTTCAAATCTTGATAGTGAGAACCCTATGAGCACATATGGTGGCCATTCTAGAAACATCCGTAGCCTTAGTATTATTTTGAAGTAAGGGCACAGATAATACGGTAAGGCTATCATAGTGTTGAACGACCCTGCGAATGGCAGTGACTGATCTCACTTGTCAAGGTTGTTTGGTGACAACCCGGTGCAACACATGGGTGCTTGCTGTAGGCAAGTTCACTGGACTAACCCACCAGAGGATTCCATATGGATGNGTATTAAAATTGAATTAATATTTGGAATGTTAATAAAAAAAAAATTAATTTAATTTAATTATTGATATTTGAAAAGAAATTAACACTTAACTAAAAACAATTACATTTATTCATTTATAAATTGTTAATTATTCATTTGAAAAGTTAATTAAACATTTAAACTTAAACAAAAAAAAAAAAAAAATCAAAAAGAGGGTTAACCTGGCCTAACCCGCGGCCTAACCCAGCGGGTTAGGATTGGCGGTCTGGGTTGGGCCAGCCAATTCCTCAACACTGGCGGGCCTAACCCGGCCTGCATGCGAATGTTGCCGGGCGGGTCAGGACCGACCTACCACTAAAAGCAACCCGCCATGGGTCAGGTCAGGTCGGGCCGGGCGGGCTGCTTTTCCACCTCTAATATGAATCATATGCATCCTATGTCGAATCCAATTGTGATGTCTCAGATCTAAGGATCAGTTGTATACTAGTACGATCTTACGATGTATCGTTGACCACATTCTAAATGTCCACGTGATTCATCGTAACTGGTCACATTCAATAAATAGTTCACCAACCGTTTATACAAGCTAATGCTCTAGTGATATAACTCGTATAATCACCTACACTAATACCATCACATGATATTCAATGGAGACATTTAGCATGCCTACTATGCAATATTATTGCCTAATTAACATTACTTACGTAGAGAATATTTCGATGATTTAATCTTCTAAATATTTGTATCATCCGGACATTTCACAAGCATTATAAATATTATAAATGAAGCAGTAAACATGTGAAATCAAAACTTTTTCTTCCATTCTTAAAAGAATATTTACAAGATATAATGCCTTGAAACCGACAACACTATTGGTTCCTAGGGCCCATCATTTTTAAACCCAAGATAACAATTCCAAAAGCAATTCATTTATATCCGCATGGAATTTATGTTATTGATGATCTCTAAACAAATCATTATCAGGGTGAAGTTTGTACCTAGTCGAAAGCTGATAGCATTCTTTCTCCATAAAGTGCATGAAATACTGCACCAGACATCAAGTAGCAATCATGCTTTTTGGTATGAACAATAAAACCAAGAAATTCATATCTTATATCTAATAAAT